TCACACCAGAGAAACTATTTGGTATTTACATGTGTGTCCTATTTATTTCACTTAAGAGTATGGCCTCAATGTGCATCCATTTAGCTATAAACGTCTCTAGTTTCTCCTTCTTTATTGCTGAGTAGTACTCTATTTTATAAAAAAAAAAATCTCCTTTTTCTGTTCTAGGGTTCTATCCCAGACATTAGGTTACCTTTAGAAGTGATATTTCCTTGGGCTACTTCCAGGTGGAATTTTCTCTGATTCTCTGTTTTTGATGAGCTTGACAGTTTTGAAGAGTACTGGTCAGTGATTTTGTGAAATGTTCCTCAACTGGGATTTGTCTGATATTGTTCCCATAATTGGGCCTTGGGGAGGAAGATCACAGAAGTAAACTGCCGTTCTTGTCATCATATCCTAAGGGTATGCACTATCAGCATGATTTATGGCTGCTGATATTGACCTTGATCACTGGGCCAAGGCAGTATCTGCTAGATTTCCCCACTGTGAGGTTACTCTTTCTTTCTTCCTCTCCATACTGTGCTCTTTGGAAGGAACTCACCACCCAGCCCACCAGCTTAGGAGGAGTTATGTTCCACCTCTTTGAAGGTAGAATTATAAATTATTTGGAATTCTTATGCAAGGGAGATTTTTCTCTTTTTTCAAATTTATTTACACAATCATTTAATGTTATCAATATGGACTCCTGGATACTTATTTTATACATTGGTTATAAGTCAATATTATAGTTTATTTATACTTCCATGTTACAATTTATTTTATTGCTCATATTGTGCCAGCATTGGCCATTAGGAGCTCTTTCAGGCGACCCTGGTGTCCTTTTTGACATATACCTGTCATTATATTTTTGTTTGAACACTTGCTTTCTGGCACTATAAAATTCTCTATGCTTATTTTATATATATATTTCTGCCCTCCATATGTAATCCTAGAGTCATTCCTAGAATTACTTATTTCTGTAAGGAGCACTGGTTCCTTTTGTTGGAAAATGGTGCTTGAAACCAATGGCACTAGATGAGTTTTAGTTATATTTCTAAATTATAGTCTGCATTTCCTTGACTTTTAAAATGGGACACACCTTAGAAATTAAGAGCATAGGCTTTATAGTCTTTGGATCTGGGTTCAAATCCCTTATCAGGTACTAACAATATGATCTTGGGCAGCAGCTAATCTTTAACTAGTTTTAATATCTAAGTCTATAAAGAGTGGCTATGGATAGTATGTACTTTGTAGGATTGTTCTGAGGATTAAATGAGAGATTACACTTGAGCTGCTTAGCAGAGTGACTGGCACATGGTTAGTGTTTGGGAAATAGAGCAGAATTACAATGAAACTTTCCTGGATGACTGAATCTTTATTGAACAGCAAGTGTTGTGATATGCTGTTAACTGAAGAGTAGAAAGCAGTGAGATGGGACTGGGGTAAATGTGTAATACATACCTTTGGTGAGTCAGGAGCACTTCATCTTACCTCTTGAGTCAGTGAATCTTTCTCATAAAATTGGAGCAATTGCTCATGGCCACTTGGTTTTCAGTGCAGTATGTCATTCTTTACTGCTAAGTCAACCAGTACTTGAAGATCCACATTGCCTTCTTGAGGGTACTTCTTATGTTCCAGGAGATCCTCTGCCTCCCATTTTTTTCACTTTTTTGCTGCCACTTATCAGCCCTGTTGAAAACATTACTTGGGTTCTTTATTACCAAGGTATGGTACCACCCTCTCTCCCTCTGAGATCTTATTCTGCCCTTTTGCACAGATTTTTGCTATGAAACTTACTAGAGTAATTGTGCATATGGAAAGAGGGTATTGGCTAACACTTCTTTTTTTTTTTGCATTTTAAGTGAATTCCAAATATGTACATTTCCTACCTGATGGCTCATGTATACTCATCTGCATTAACACTTCATATATAGAACATTTTGCCTTTAAGTATAAACCAGCTACATAGGAAGAGGGGAACAGAAAAAAGGTAGATACATTCTGACACTTTAATTGTGCTTTTCTTTGTGTGAGTTCTATAGTTATGTAGCTTTGTTATTTTTATGCCTTCTATAGTTCTGAAATTATTTTTCTATTGAGACATAAAGGAATATTCTACATTGAATGAAAAAAAGACCCAGTTAACAAAGATTTTATTTTGTGGAAGGCTACAATTGGTACATTAAAATTTTGTCCTTAATCTGCTTAATCTTTGGGATCAGGTAAACATTACTAAAAAGGACTGTTTTATTCACAATTGAGGAAAGAAATCATACTCAGAATTGAGTTCTCAGTAGAGCCATAAATGTCTATAGCATCATCAGACTTTACTGTTTTTTCTCCAGTTCCATATAGTCTTTTAATACTGACTGCTTTAACAATGTGCACCTACTCCCTTCAAAAGTATTCCCAGTCTGATCAATTTACTCTTGCTGATTAGACTGTTGGGTTTTACACTAGGTTAGGGATCCAACATAACAAAGCCTTAACGTAAAAGAATGAAACTACAGACTTGTATTTGCTATTAGAAAATTTTTGGTAATATCTTCCAGGGGAAGTCAGAATTATTTTAGGCTCACATTTTCAATTTTTAAAAAACTTTGATTATAGTGGTGGATGTGGGCAGGAAAGAGGATTTCTCCTGTGATCTTTTCAGAGTTTAGGACCTCAAAGTCTTGCCCCAGTCTTGCCTCTGACCTTCTTGCCTGGAAGTACCCAGTGATACGTGGTTCAGGGTGGATATTTAATTGTGAAAATCTGCAACTTACATGATTTCTCAGTTTCACAAGATGTGACTGCTTCTTATTAGGGGGAAGAAGGAGCCCTGATGCATTGTAGGGTACACGGACACTTTATGCACACCCTTTCCAAATCACTCACAGAGGAGTTTATCAAAGTGGCAGAAAGACAAGAACCCAGAACTGTAGTAATAATTAAGATCCAAGCTTCATTGGAGGATGTGACTTATTTCTCATAAGATTCTTTTCTTTTGGTACCGGGGATTGAACTTAGGACCTTGTGCTTACAAGGCAGGCAGCAGCACCACTGAGCTAAATCCCCGGCTCTCATAAGATTCTTGACAGAATTCCTAGTGAGAGGTAGCAGGGGCTGGGCAGAGGACTGGACTGGAAACCCAGAGCAAACTTAAGAGTTCACTCTGGATCTGCTGCTAATTTGCTGTGTGTGAATTTGAGCAAATCCTGAAATCTTCCCAGACGAGCATTTCTTTCATCTGTAAATGAAGAGTTTGGGCCGGGTGATCTCCCAAAGCCCCTTTTGCCTGTTTCTGGCATTTGTGTTTTACTAGAGAAAGAAGAAAGCCCATGTCATAGACCACATATGGGGAGGGATACCTGAAAAACTAGTGTGGTGTAGGTCAACCAGTTTCTCTTTGTTACTGCATTATTTATATTAATGTGAGGATAGTGACACAAGCTACCAGTTACTGAGGGGTTTCTACATACTAAACTATATGCTAGCACTTTACAGGAAATATCTAATTTAGTTCTTAAAAAATACTGGTAAGCATTGCTACTGGGTTTCCATTTACAGATGAGTAAACTGAGGTTTAAAAGATTTAATTTCCCCAAGGTTGCAAAACTATACCATACCGTACCTGTGCTCCTAACCACTGTGTTTGGGACAGAGCTAGGCTCTGGTTCAAATCAAAAGTCTGAACTCAAATTCTGACTCTGCCACTGTGAATCTTGGATAAGTTGCTTAACCTGCCACATCTCAGCTTTCTCATCTTTAGAATGGGCTGAGAGTGGGACCTACTTTATAAGGTTGCTGTGAGGGTTAAACGAGTTTACTAGGCCATGTCCTTAGAAGAGTGGCTGGCAAAGAGTGAGCTCTATATAAGTGTTTACTGTTACTACTATTACTACTACTGCTATGACTGTCGCTGCTGCTGTTGTTATTCTAGATGCACCAGCTGTGGGGCTGAGGGTGTAGCACAGCAGGTGCAGCACCAGCTTCTGCAAAGATCTAAAACAGCATTTGGGGAAAGGCTGTCTGTTGTGGCTGGTGCACAGACTGTAAGTGGGGAACGAGGTTAGCTGGGTATGCTGGAGACAGGAATACCATGGGTGCCAGGCTCCTTGTCTGGGTGCTGTGTCTTGCGGGGAGCTTTCCACAAGGAGCAGGTGTGTTAACAAGCTTCTGTGTGTCTCCTTTTCACCCAGGGGCGCCCCGAAGATGCGACATCCTCACTGTCTACAGCCCGGACGCCGAGGAATGGTGCCAGTACCTCCAGGACCTTTTCCTGTCCAGTCGGCAGGTCCGCACCCAGAAGATGCTGACGCACAGGCTGGGCCCTGACGCCTCCTTCTCGGCCGAAGACCTGCTCCTCTTCCTGGGCGCCCGCTGCGTGGTGGTGCTGCTCTCGGCGGAGCTGGTGGAGCACTTCTACCGGCCGGCCCTGCTGCCGCTGCTGCAGAGGGCGCTGCACCCCCCGCACCGCGTGGTCCGGCTGCTCTGTGGGGTGCAGGGCACCCAGGACGAGTTTCTGCCCTTCTTCCCCGACTGGGCCCACTGGCAGGAGCTCACCTGTGACGACGAGCCCGAGGCCTATGTGGCCGCTGTGAGGAAGGCCATTTCTGAAGGTAAGGGTTTCTTTGGGTGAAGACAGATCCCAGGCTGTCGGGCCAGGCATCTTTTTATGTTAACCCGAACTTTGTATTATGAACCAGGAGGGAAATTCACTGGTCATATCGAGACTGGTCATAGTTGGTTTAGAGCAGCTGATTTCTGGGATAGGATGTTTTCCTCTACTGCCAGAGAGGAGAGGAAGGAGACTCTCTTCTGTTCTATACTAGGGGAAAACCCTTTCTTTCTAGGATTTTCTGATTGGAAAGACAAGGGACTCAAGGTTCCAGTGCAGGGAGCAGCAGAGGTGGGCGGAAGAGACTTAGTTTGCTGTGGGTGTGAGCAACATCGTCACCAATCCTCTTGTTTGCATGCCACTTTCATTTTATCCTCACGTGATCTTGGCATTTTTGTTGAAAAGATGTCACTTGGGGTGATGTGTATAGAAAACAACCCTCTTCTCACTTTCCTATCAGCCTGGCTTCTGTCTTTTGTGCTGCTTCTCCTTTTAAAGTAGAAACATCTAATCCTTTCTGCCAGGGCTATGACTTCAGTGGCCCTAGGAAGTGTGACACACACTAATTAACAGTAGCAGAAGATGCACTCTGGGATGAATGCATGTCACAGCATCTCTTCCTCTTTTGGTTTTCTATTTTTGCCTCACTGTGGGCTGAGTGGGTTATGCATTTATTGTCTGATCTCTTGCCACTGGAGATCTTTATATACCTGACACCAGCCAAGAAGCTTAGAAAAGTATAGGCCCAATGGAACGGTGCCTCAGTGATCTCTGGTGTGACTTGGGCATTACTTTGCTCATCTGATGAACTGAATCAAGAATTTACTAATTCTCAGTGACCTTCAAAAGGCAATGCAATTTGGCCATGGTGCTGCACATCTATAATCATAGCATTCAGGGAGGCTGAGGCAGGAGAATCACAAGTTTGAGCCAAGTCTGGGGAACGAAGGACTTAGGGAGACCTTGTTTCAAAATAAAAAATAAAGGAAAAAAGGGTTGGGGATTAGTTCAGTGCAAAGGCCCTGGATTTTATTCCCTGTATAAAAAACAAACAAACAAAAAGAGGTAATGTAGCTTCTTAGGTACTAGGTACTTAGGTGTTTTTATCCCAGAAATAAGCTGCTATAAGCCAGTAAAAGTGGCCTGATCTCTTAATATAGTGAAAATCCTTCTCACCTTATAGTACAAACAACTAACGTTCATGTAAAAGATGTCTCACCTAAATGCCAGAGACCTGGATTAGTTATTTTTCTAGAGTTTGCTTATCTTTATTTTAGAAGGACACAAGGATAGAAAAAGCACAGGATCCAATGCACATGATTATATTTCCTTGCTTTCAAGGAGCTGTGATCTGCCTAAACTTATAGAAAACTGAGGCATAACTGGATGTTTCCATCACTGCAGCAGTCCATTATGATTTTGAGGGCAGGCCACTGTGACCCACCAACTAATCATTCAGAGCTCTGTGGATGTATTGTCCCTGTGTTGGAACTTCACACTGTGTACCCTAACAGATTATTCTTTAAAATATTGTGGTAGTGAGATTTTTAAAAATAGAAAAGGGCTGTGGGTGTAGCTAATGTATATACTTAGCATGTATGAGGTCCTTAGCTCAATCCCCAGCACAAAATGGAGAGAGAGTAGTAAAAAGGATTTTTTAATTATTTTTGGGTGTATTCAATAAATGGATGCCTGGATAAATTGATTTCTGCTAATATTTTACTTTTTCTAAAGACTCTGGGTCAGTATGCTGTGAACCTTTGGCTTCAAGTGTTTCAGAAAGAATGAAATATTTCACAGTGGTGTTTTTGCTCCGAGAGCAAATAACCTCTCATCAGAAAGAGATTATTTTAATGGAGGATTAAAATAAGCTTCTTAGTGAGAAATTGCTGCAGTTCAGAATCAATGGATATAAAGAGAAATGGGATTATGGGAAAGAGAAGAGAAGGATGGAAACTTAGATTAAAGGTGCTTATAGGTAGTCAGTTATACTTTTAAATAAGTGCTTCTCAAACTTCCATGTGCATAGAAGCACCTGGGGATCTTGTCAAAATGTATATTCCAACTCTGAATGTCTGTGTAAAGATCAAGATCTGTGGGGTGTTTTGTTTTGTTTCATTTTTGTGGCACTAGGAATTGACCCAGGGCCTTTGCACTGAGTTACGTCCTCAGACCTTTTCTTTTTTATTTTCAAACTAAATTGCCCAGGCTGGGCTCTAACTTTCCATTCTTCTGCCTCGACCTCCCAGAGTGCTGAGATTACAGGCACCCACCATTGCACCTGGCTTGAGATTCTATGTTTTTAATAAGCTATCAGTGCTGCTGGTAAGGGTCTAAGACATCTCTCCCTTGTCAGTGGTCATGTACTTCTGTTGTGCATAAACCATTTTCTCAAATCTCGACTAGCATCATATCAGGGCAGCTTCTGGATGCCTGTAAGTTTAGGTATAAAATTAGGCCAGTGTTTGGTGGTTAGGCTCTTAGACTTCAGGGTAGAGCCCCTGACTTCTCTTTTTCTACTCACAGATTCAACATGTTCACTCAACATGTCCACTCTGGCAGGTTTTAATCTCTCAGCTTTCTGGATGTAAGTGGTCCTGGCATTGGGATGGGGATGCTACTGCCACCACCATGCTTACTCCTTCATGTAATGAGCCTCTTGATCTTTCTATTTACTCTTCCACTAAGATATGTTTAAGAGATTTTATTTTATTGCCCAACCTCCTCTCCAAATTTGGCAGCCGCCTTAAAATTGAACAGATGTTTTGATTGGAGTCATCAGTGTGTTGCAGCAGCCAGTTTATCTCCCAGGTTCTTCATCTGGAAAATGATGGGATTTGACAGATGATTTTGAAAGTTTCTTCCAGCCTCTTGTGCTGTAATGTATCATTATAAGTTTCCTAAGAAGATGGCAAATTACCCAGGACCCTTCAACTGATTTCATTTAGTTCTGACATGTCTGCAGTGATATATACCAGTGTGTAGAAAGTTGTACTATTGTTCTGAATTTCTTGGACTTGTTGGGTGATTATTTTAAAATAAGGAAGTGAAAAAAACCCAGGTACAGCATAGCACAGCAATTATTTCCGCTTTTTACTGGAGGTCTATTCTTTGCTGCAAATCTCACTGGAATACAAAAATAGAGTTTGTCAGACTGTGTGAGAAAGGACTCACTGGGTGATATTAAGGTTTATTTTAAAAGTTTTTGTCTAATGCCTGTAAACCCAGCTATGTGGAGGCTGAGGCAGGAAGATTGCAAGTTCATGACCAACCTGGACAATGTAGCAAGACTCTGTCTCAAAATTTAAAAAATGAAAATGAAAAAGGGCTGGGGATATAGTTCAGTGGTAGAGTGCCCCGGGTTCCATCCCTAGTACTAAAAATTTTTTTTCATCCGTGTGCTAACAGTTGTGTGTATGCGTGTGCAGGAGTGATGAGGGTAGTGGCAAGCACTAAGCCTACTTCTCCCCCTTTACTTTGACATCGCAGAGGAGATCTCTTCTGCTTCTTTCTTTTCATTATTTTATGCTTATTTTCCTCATTCCTCCCCATGCCCTTTGTGTTTCAGGAGCTCTGGTGGTACTCAAAATTATGATGTATTTCACTTTTGGTTCCCATGGGGAAATTTTAGAGGAGTGTGTCCACATCTGACCTTCTTTTGTTGATATTAATTTTTAAATCTTCACATTAAACTGGAGTTTAAAGGAAAAACAATGGGTATTCTCAAAATGCTTTCAACTGATCGATGGACCCCCAAATCTTTTCCTAAACTTATTTATTTATATTTTTCCCATTTTATTGAGGTATAATTGACAAATAAAAATTGAATATATTCAAGTTATATAATGCAGTGATATGAAATAAGTTTATATTGTGAAATGATTGCCACAATCAAATGAATTAACAAATCCAGCCGAGCGTGGTGGTGCACGCCTGTAATCCCAGCACTTGGGAGGCTGAGGCAGAAGGATTGCTTTGAGTTTGAGGCCAGCATAGACTCCATAGTGAATTCAAGGCCAGCCTGAATTACAAAGCAAGACCTTGTCTCAAAAAACCTAAAAAATCACATTCATCACCACCATAGTTGCCGTTGTGTGTGTGTGTGTATGTGTGTGGTAAGACAAGTCTTCTACTTTTTCTAGTCTCCTCTTAGCAAGTTTCAAATAAACAATATGGCATTATAAAAATATGGTATTATAAGCTATTGTCACCATTAGACTCCCAGAATTTATTCATTTTATAACTGAACATTTAAGCCCTTTGATCAATGTCTCCCTCTCTCTTTCCCTCCCCCAGCCCTGGCAGCCATCATTTTACTCTTTGCTTCTATGAACCTGACATCCTTAGATTCCACATATAAATGAGATCATACAGTATTTGTCTTCCTGCTTATTCCACTCAGCATAATGTCCTCCAGGTTCATCCATGTTGTTATAATGGTAGGATTTTCTACCTTTTATGGTTGAATAATATTCTCATAATTTTCCTCTACTTTAAAAAAAGAACATTTTTCCAAAATACACTGTTAAAAACAATGTTAAAAAAGAAAACAAAAGTACTTGTAGTTTTAAATTTTTCCCTTTTTATCAATAATGATGAAATAAATCTTCATGTAACATTGTGTCTGTCTTTGTGAATCTGTTGATTTCTCCTGATCACATCTCTTTAGAGCTCAGGAGACAGGGTTGCAAGCCTGCTTTGTGCATCTCCCTGCCCTCCCCATGGAACCTGAATCCAGCCCCTTCCTTACTATAGTTTTTGTTATTGCAGTTATTTTTTTTCTTCTTTTTATGTCTGGTTCAGTTCATTATTTATATTTACAAAGAAGCTCAAATGGAGCATTGCTGCACCCTTCTTCCTCTTTTGGAAAGAGCTAGTAATAGGGTATGAATGCTTTTTATGATAGTTACTATGTGGAATGCACTGGGAAATTTATGTATCTTTATTCTCCCTCAATGCCTGAGTGTTCACATGGTTTTACTGCCACTTTACAGATGAGAA